CACACACACACACACACACACACACACACACACACACACACACGCAAAGTGCAACAGATGCCTCAAAAGAGTGGCTGGAATATCCTTGCTAGAGGCATTGATTAGAGGCTGGGTGGGTTCCTCCCCCAGGCTGGGATTTGACTAGATGCTCTCTTGGTCCCTTTCAATCATTGATTTCTGGGATGTTAAGACGGCATGTTTCATGTAACATAGAGAATTGGCTAGCATTGTTTTTAATTTTGAGTGTACGTTCAGCCACTGGGAAACTGGAATGAAGTGAACAGGGTGCAGATGGGAGGGGGGTATATATGGATGGGGCCAGATTTGGATGGAGCCAGATGGGGCCAGAATGGACGTTAGAGGACTGAGGCATCAATAGCTGCCTGCTTGCTGGAACTCTCTGGACTATAAAGCTGGTCCCTCAGAATGCCAAGAAAGAAGCTTAAGGTTGCATGTAAGAAGGCAGGAAAATAATTCTATTTTGTTTCTGCAGCTCTTCAGTCCAAAGGGAAAGAGGCTTCTCTCTCTCGAGCAGGCAAAGTAGAATTCTTGCTTATTTTGGAAAGGGCTACTGGACCTCTGGACAGGAGAAGCCATTTCCGAGGGCTGAAACGGACACAAGTGACCGTTTGACTGTCTTAGCCAAGGGACTGCAATAAGCCATCTCTCTGGGCCTCTTGGGGAGCTGACTAAGCAGAGTTCGGTCACCGTAGAACGGCTTGCTTGGTGAGGCAAACCTTCTTACCAGCAGAGATAGCAATGGCGCGGGCCTCCACCTTGTCCCCCATCTTGCGCACCACTTCAGGAGAGGGCCCAATGAAGCGCACCCCAGCATCCAGGCAGGCCTTGGCAAAATCAGCTCGCTCGGAGAGGAAGCCGTAGCCGGGATGGATCGCGTCCACTTCATTATCCTGGAAAGAAGCAGGAAGCGCTGGAAATCTTTGCTCTCTCTCTCTCAAGCAAAGCAGCCCCGAGGTTTCTAAACTGGACAGGCTGTCCAGAAAGCCCGGGTGCTCTTTGTCTCTTGCAAATGTGTCTAGAAGATCAAACATGTGTACAAAAACATCACCTGCAGGTACTGCTTTAAACACCTGCGGAATTAAACGTAACTTTATGCTGAAAATCTTTTTGCAAAGCCACATATTTAAATTTTTCAACATTTTAAATCCAAGATCATCTGTGTCAACTGTATCTGCCTGCATCACAGGCTCACTCTTTCCCTTTGCAGCCCCCCCCCCCCCAATCCCATCCCAGAACGGCCTCCGATGCTCCAGGGAGGGTTTAGAGGAAGGACGTTGCTCTCTCCCAAGTGCAGACCAGACACGCTGCCAAAAGGCCATCAGTGGAGTGGAAAAGCAAAGTCTGCTCAGGCTTTCTTCTAGCGCAGGGCTCACCAACCTTCCGGACTTCAGGGACCACCCGATTCATAATTTTAAATTCCACGAACCACTAATATGAACCCAGCACACAGCTTGCTGAAGCGCTTGGACTCCCAGTGACGGGATGGGGTCCTTCAGGCACTTAGCTTGGCCGCCTGTTTCTGCAATCTTAAACACTCAAAGAGGCATTTGGACACCAGGATTTCTCATCTCTCTCTCTCTCCTCTCTTCCTCTCTCCTCCCTTTCTCTCTCCTCTCTCTCTCTCATCTCTCTCCCCTCTCTCGTCCTGAGGCAAAGTGGGGGCCATGTACTGTAGTTGTCGTAGCTGAAAGAGAACACGCTGTGGGCCTGGAGCTGGGGGCGGGGGGGGAGAGTGCGGTTGTAGTGCTGCTCATACTCATTGTCGCTGCTACTATGGCGGGACCAAGAGGAGGGGGCGGGGGGGGTCTCCCTGCTGCCTCCACCATTATCCCCTCCGCTGCTGCCGCTACGGCCTCCCAATACTCATCCCAAGAAAGGGCCCCGGTGAGGGGCTTTGAGGCGCTCACCTTCCTTGGCCGGGCTGCCGTCGGAGTAAGCGCGGAGGCGCTGCTGGTAGAAGCCGAAGTTGGGCCCAGCCATCCACAGGTTATTTTAAAATGTGAATGGAAATGACAAAGCCAGGAAGAAGGCTCTGTGTCCAATGTTTCTAAAAAACCTTTTTGTAAAGGGGGGGGCCTGGCCAGCCGGTCTCAGGGCCAGCAGCGCCATCACCCACCACCATCATTGCATGGTTGGAGGAGCCACAGCTGCCACGGCCTCCTTGCTCTCCTCTCACGCACCTGTTTCTTGTGGAAGTTGTGCTCAGAGCGCTCCGTGCCTGGGGAAGTGCTGGCTGGGGCCCAGAAGCGAAGCTGGGCTGCACCTCCTCCTCCTCCTCCTCCAAACCTCTCATCTCACAGGTCAGCCAGACTAGAAATGTCTCCCCCAGTATTTAACTTGTAACTCAGAACGAGAGAAAATAATCGGGAAACCACCTTGTCATTTTTAAGGGTAAGCAAGAAGCTTTGCATCCAGCGCATACGATTCCCACTGTGACCCACTGGGAACTGCACCAGCGGTGTGAGGTGCAGGGAAAGCGCGGTCAGTGGACATTCACATTTGGACACATGGGGTCAATTTGATTCTGGGTCAATTGTAGCTCAGCCTTTCATCCCCAATAGGCCTCCTGCTTGCCTGTCTCTTATCTTTCTTTCCCCACTTGAGTAAAACTCCTTCATGTTATCTCGTACAAATCTTTCACATTCACATAACTTCCTTTCTACAAGGTATAATGGCTACAATAATACTCTGCCACCAATGTCAGTAGAGGCGGAAACATTGGTCCTCTCATAACAGCAAGAGAAGCATTGGCCAAACCTTGGCCACCAACGCACAGATTAGACCAAGAAGCTTCCAAGCAGCTGGAGGATGTGCTGGGAAGGAGGTTGGACTACATGATCTCCAAGATCCCTTCCAACTCTTATATTTTAGATGAACGAGACTTCAAGATGTCAGTGGCGTTTGGATTTTTGTCCTTTGCTGATTGAGAAGTTGGCACTTCCTCAGATAACGAGGCCCTGAGCCATGTAGGCGTTGGAGGCTGATAAGCAATATTTGGAACTGCGCTCAGAAGCTTTGGGGCGTCAACCTCGGGGGAGCAGAGGCCATGATGAGACCCACCCAGAAATGATCACTCTGCCAAACTCTGGACCAAGAATGTAGCCTTTCATGTAGCCTTCAAGGGCTGCCCCATATCACTGCAATGGTCTTAAATGCCGGGTGATCGAGGAGTGAGAGATCCATCCAGTCCAACATCTGGCGGAACTGACCATACTCTGCAAAGGCTTCCTGTGGAGTTCCAGATGCACAACAGCCCCAAATAAGGAAGTGCAACCTGGGACCCAATCTCAGAGGTCAAAGAGGATCCAGGAAGCCTCTCGAGGATTGGTCAGGCATCACTCTGCCAGTCTGAGGTCAAGACATACAAATGACTATCATACCAATCTATGATCTCAGCACACTGACCCCCAAGTGAAGGGTGGCTTCCCCGGCTGCTCCGCCCTTGTGGGCCATGGGGATCACCTGCTTGTCTTTGGCCACCCGGGTCACAGGTGGAGCCTTCTCACCTTGGCGACTTTGATGATGTCTGGAATGTGCAGATAGGCCTGAACCGGGGGGAGGCCGCGGCCGATCAGATACGCCTCGTCTGCCTTCTGCCGATGCATCTGCCCCGTGTCCTGCTCCGAATAGACCGCCACCGTCCGGATGCCGAGCTCCGTGCAGGCTCGGAAGACCCGGATGGCGATCTCCCCTGGAATTCACAAGCGTTAAGAAGAGCGCAAGGTCAAGATGGGAGGAAAGCATTTGGGGCCGGGGTCAAAGAAACCCAGGTCGGCCACTCAGATTGCTTAACAGTTTCTGTCTGCCATTGGTTCTGATGAAGCGGCTCCTCCTAAAAATGCTTGTGAAGAATCAGCCCGGCCAGGCACTTTGGGCCGGGGGGGGGGGGGGCAGAATTGGGTGCCATGCTGATGTCTCTGAAGGTATAAAAGGATGCCATACTTTCCCCAAGGTGTGGAGCCGCATGTGGCTCTTTCATCCCTCTGCTTTGGGAACATGTCACCAGTTGGCGCAACAATTTTGAGACCAGGCACTTTGGGGGGGGGGGGGGGGGGGCAGAAGCAGCTCCCAGCAATCCCAGTTCCCAAGCCCTGCTCACCTCGGTTGGCTACCATCACCTTCTGGATGGGCTTGTATTCTACCCGTGGGGTGCTCAGGAAGGCAGCCGGGTGACGGAAGAGGTGCTGGAGGGCCAAGAAGGGCATCCTGCCCTTGGCACAAGGCAACTGCAGCAGCATCTGTGGGCAAAGAGAGGGAGGTCAGCCGGTGCTGCTGCTGGGCCCTCAGTTGCAGCTCTAGCTGCAGTTCCAAGGTGCAGCTGCGGGAGAGGCCGAAGGGGGGGGGGCAGGAATTAAGACGCGTGGGAGCACCAGGTGGGGAGCTTAAAGTGAGAGTCTTCTCCTCTTTTCAGGGAGTAAATCGTGAAAGGCTTGTCCAGAGTTAGGGCGTCCCCATCACAGGTGGAAGAGCAGCAAGGCCTCTCCAGTTCCCAGGCAGAAAATGTCAGGCAGAGGAAGCAGGGGCTGCAAAGGATCCCTTGGTTGACTCTCTCCGGCCTCTTTTCCAGGACTGTAATAACCAACTTGGGCTTCAGGTGAAGAAGAGGGGGATTCCTTGGTCTGTTGAAAGGTACTTTGTGGGGGGGGGGGATCCCACACCAGGTTTTTGCCAGCATCATCAGAGGTTGGGCACCCTGGTCTCCATAGTCCCCCCCCCTCTCAGTTCCTTTCAACAGACCAATGAACATACAGCCCTTTGCTTGAAGCCCGAGGCTGGCCTCCAAAACTGTAATGCTTGTGCTCCTCCCTTAAAATGGCAGAAATCATATCGCCCCATTCTGGAGACAGGGGAGTTAGGCATACCAAGGTGTTGGGTATGAAGGGGTGAAAAGTGCTCTTGAGTGTGTCATTAAAAGTTGCAATGCTACAAGAATCTAGGAAGTTGCACCGGGGGGGGGGGGGGCACTAGAGAAGCTCTTTTTTTTTTTAGGACACCCATGTGCTTCAACATATAAACAAACTCCTTAGCTACCAACCTGCATTAGCACATTATTCTTTATTTGACAGTATGTATGTAAGTGTATTTAAATACAGATCTTGGTTGGCTCACTAATTCTATACCAGAGGAAGCAAATCAATTTCAGTTTATGGTCTGTTCAGATTTTCAACGTTTTGTTGAGAAGTCTCTCAAATTCCTGCTCTGGGCCACGTGACTGACCCAGCCAAGAACTCGCCAAAGTCCCTGCACCTTCCCTTCCCTCCTCTCCCCCCCCCCATGTGCATGGGGGGAGGGGGCTCCAAAACCAGGGAGGGGTTGATTGGTGCTGCTTTGCAAGCCTCTGCCTCTTTCCCAATTAGGAAGATTAAAGCATGCAGGAAAGGAAGTATGCAGATTAGCACTATTTGCATAATTTATTTCATGGCACAGAATCTGCCTTTCCTTGGCACAGAGCTTGAATTACAGAGCTTGAATTGACGCGAGGCTAAGAATATCTTAAGTGCAAAATAAATAAAATGTTTTCTAGAACTTGCGGATGGGGCATAAAAATACTGTCAGCTTCAAAAACAGGAGTGGGGGGGGAGGGGCAGATGCCCGGAATTCTGCAGTGCTCCAACTCATTTAACTTCAGTGTTGAATTGTATACATTTTTCTCTACATTCAGCTACAAACCATCCCATAGGAACTCACAGAAAATGCTACAATGATAAGAACAGCCACAGCCACCACCACCACCACCACCAAGAGTGGCTTTTGGGAAATAGTCTGAGCAGCTAAAGAAATAGGGGTGCTCAACGCTTGCAGGCGGTTGGGAGGAAGAGGCTTAAGGAAGGGACGTAAAGGGTTGGTAAAGGGCCGGCTAACAGCCTGAAAGCAAGAACAAAGAGGGATGGGCAGACGTCGGCCACGGTTGCGAAGGACACAGATAGTTTTCTGGATCTAGAAAGCAGAGGACCAAGAGCTCTGGACCAGTTGCCCAGTGGATGTGGCCAAATACTGGCCACATCGGGAGGGGAAAAGGCAGCTGCTCCACTGCTATTTCACTTCATCCTTCTTCTCCCAAAAGACTGAGAAGAAAGGCAGGAGGAGGAGGAGGAGGAGTGAGACGGAGCAAAGGAGGCCTCTTGATGCGCTGGTTGAGACTGTCGAGCATTGCCTGAGAAAGTGGAGAAAGGCTGGGGGACTGGAGGAAGAAAAGAAATGCTGTTGATCTTCTAACAACTCGAAAGACAAATAAAAATTTAAATGATCTAGTTAGGACAGAGAAATAGGCCGAACATAATAGAGTGGAATTTCAACTAGGCGACAGAAGTGAAGGGAACCAAGATAGTCACAACTGATTTTGTACGTTAAATGAGAGTGGGGTGTGGCTGCAAAGCAAAACAAAATGGGGCAATTTTGGTGGCATCCACAAAAGCAGTTTCTGCATCCCAGGAATCAATTGTTTCACGTGACTCTAGTTGGGGGAAAACATCTTGAGGGCCACTTCAGAGCACCAGGCATGGAGGAAGGTTCTAGAAAGCTGGAAGACGTGCAAAGTCTACCAGAAAGCGCACCCTCTCCAGGGAGGCCAAAGGGGGCGGAAGACAGAAAGGGCCCCCCAGAGGGTCCCCGGGGGGTCCCTGCATGACCAGGTAGCCTCTTCTTTCTTCCGCCAGAGGACAGAATAATGGACTTAGGGGACGGGATGGACATTGAGGGGGGGGGAGGGGAGAACCAGAGGGGAAATCCTGGCTCCCAGTTCATTGGATCTGCACTGACCACCAAGTCGGACTCCTGGAGGGCTGACCGGGTGCCTTCCAACAGAACAGCCTTCCTGTCCAGCCACCGCACAGCCCACTCCCTCCCTGGGCCACTCTGGGGCTCTCCAGTGTGACCACCACTCACTCCGACTGGGCCTGAGATGCCCAGGGACGCCGTCTGGGCATTCTTAGAAACAATCTGGGGCCATGTTGTATCACCTGGTCCCTCGCTTTGCCTGCTCCAGGCCATCAAGCCTCCCTAAGCCTCGCAAAGCTGCTTCACCAGCCTGGTTGCCAAGGGAGGCCCTGTGTCAGGCTCCCTGCCTTTTGAGGCCTCAGGATGCCAAGCGGGCATAGCGGGCCCTCGTTATGCAATGATCCAGGGAGGCAGCCCCCCTGCCTTTTGAAATGGAGACAGGTGTGGCCGTGTCTGGCTGGGCAAACGCAGCGGCCCACCACCCTCAGAGAGCACAGCAGGACCCCCGTCCTGGCTGTCCTCAACCAGGCACTTGCGTCTCATCAGCCCTTCGGAGTCCAAGGGGTCCAAAAACAGCTTGTTGAGAGACACGCAGACACGAAGCCACCCCCAGGGTTGGCTTCCCACACCCCATAGACCAAGTACAGCCAATTCTGTTCTGTGATCAGATTTCAACATGTTTACATTGGTTTTTCATTTTCATTTTCATTTTATTAAGATTTATAGGCCGCCCTTTTCCCTGAGGGGACTCAGGGCGGCTTACAATCACAAGGGAGGGGGGGTGCAGTATCAAAAGACAAAACAAAATGTGAACAAAGGAAAAATAATAAAACACAACTTTCGTTCAGCAATCAACAATCAACACTCGGGCGGGTAAATTGGAAACCTATCCCCAGGCCTGCTGGGAGAGCCAGATCTTGAGGNGTCGCCAGTCGGCTCCACAATGGATAGGGCTTTCAGTTAGGACAGGTAGAGGAAAAAGGATGCCTTTTTCTAGGCGGAGACTCTATGGTGGGGGAACCAAACTTCTGGTCAGCTCCAGAATTGAATGTGGGGCTTCCGTTTAAGGACATTTGTGGCTCTTTAAGTGTTGCCAACCCCTATGGTCCTCGATTGTGGCTGAGTTCCGAAACCCCATTGAACTCTGCAGCCTCATGCCGTTTCAGTTTGGAAACGTTGTTTGAACACTGCCTCACCTGTAGAAATAGGAGCAACCTCGAACAGTGTTGTGAGTGAAGTGTTCCAAGGTCTTCTCATTGCCATAATCTTCTGATGGATCAGACCACAGTAGGTCACACATTGGACCAAAGGCTGGAGGCTCCTTAAACCTGTCTAACTGAAAGACAAATATGGACCAAAAAAAAGACAATTGTGAATGCAAATCTCTATAAGACAATAAGAACATATTATTAAGACATGCAGAACAGGTCAGGTGCAGAAAAAGTATCTGTAAAATAGTACAGTCCATTATGAGAGTTCCACAACCTTTATGGGTTTGTGGATTAGGATGGCACACACGTACACATGCTTGCCTGCTGCCCGTGCGGGGGTGGGGTGGGGGAATGCATGCGCTGCCCTGGCTTTGGGCAGCCTGGTTTTAAAATAGCTCACAGTCCAGTAGTAGACTCTGGCTCAAGGGGTAGGGACCCCTGCATTCTGAGAAGTTTTGGGGGAAAATATCTGTTATCAATATTGATTTCCATGGGAGGAATATCTACCCCATGAAAAAAAAGTAGGCTTAAGCAATGGAAAGTCACTTTAAATAAAATCAAGAGAACAACTGTTCCATTTCATAGTTTCTCTGAAAGGGTTACAAATCAATTTCTTTTCAAAATGCTCACTTCAGTATTGAGGGAGAAGCCAACTCCCGAACCCGTAGCTAACATTATGGCCGGTTTGGAGAACCTCCAAATCCCACCCCTGGCTGGACCCTCCCACCATGCCCTTCCCCTCCCCTCCCACCATGCCCCTCCCCTCCCAGGAGTCTCCATGTGGCCTGTTTTGGATGCAAGGAAAGTACAGGGCCTGTGCGAAGGCTTGGGGAGGGGGGAAAGCCTCCGGAGCCTGGGGAAGGTGAAAACGCCCCCTCCCCCTGCCATGGTGCAGGAGGCTGACTAGGCCACGCCCACCATGGCCACGCCCACCATGGCCACGCCCACCATGGCCACGCCCACCA